CCCCATCCAACCTGACAGAGCTTGAGAGGATCTGCAGAGAGGAATGGGAGAAACTCCCCAAATACAGGTGTGCCAAGCTTGTAGCGTCCTATCCAAGGACGCTATAAAGTACTGAGTAAAGGGTCTGAATACTTATGTAAATGTTTCAGTTAATTTTTTCAAATAAATGTACTAAAATGTCTGAAAACCTGTTTTTGCTTTGTCATTATGGGGTATTGTGTGTAGATTGATGAATGGAAAAAACAATTTAATCCATTTTAGAATAAGTCTGTAACTTAACAGAATGTGGAAAACGTCAAGAGGTCTGAATACTTTCCGAATGCACTGTATTTACACCTGGCTGCTCTGTGGTAAAGTGAAAAGCATGTAGCTAAAGCTACAATGGGTTCCTATCAGAGCCTAGATGGTTCCTTTGTACACCTGGTTGCATGATAGATCCGTGAGAAAATAAAATACTTTTGTCATGTTTAAGTCGTTTTAATGAGAGGGATTAAAGGGAACTCATGTTGCAAATTTAACGCAACAGGAAGTGAAGGATCATCTCCGGTGAATAATGAATGTAGCATAATGAAAACACAATTAGAGTATCAGCCGCAATGAAAGGCCCATATTAACTGTCAAGAAGACGATCACACAGATTACTCAAGGCAATAAAGGAAGAAACTTTGGAGAGGTGGAGAGAAAAAAATACTTTTCAATAACTTTGTTTTATTTTTTTATTTTTTCACAATCATTAGGCTTCGTATTAAGCGCCCAATCATCCCCCACCAAATTGTAATGAGTCATTAATCAAGTTGGCTGATCCAAAGTCATTTCAAGTGCTTAAAATGTAATTATTCACTGATAAACATAACATTTGGAGAGACGACGGCGAGATAAGACAAGGACACACAGAGGGTTTAGCGCGCTGCCGCCACTGCCCCCGCCACAGCAAAATGTCGCTGTCACATTCCAAGAGCTCATTTGTTTAATGTGATTTCCACGAAAGTCATCAAAGCATCAACAGGGACATGTCAGCCGGACATGATTGAGGGAGGAAGGGATGGAGGGGATGTAGAGATGGAAAGGAGGGAATGATGGAGTAGGGGGCTTGTTAATGAAATGCAAAGTTAATCGAGTTGGATGGAAGGAAACGGGGATATCGCCGCAGTGTTTGGTAATTGCCCTCTTGTCGCTTTCACTTCCACTTTAAATGAATGTAAATGTGACGGCCAGTTGCTTTTTTGTTTCAGAGTGATAGAGTTATTAGTTATTACACCAGTTTTGGCGTATGTGCTAATTGGAATGACCTGATTGGCCCTTAGCTTTGTTGTTGAGTCAAGGTCAGGACGTAGTAGCTACGGCTCCTTTGGCTCATCCTCTGCAAATGAGCGACGCGGGTGTCAACTCTCTCATCTCTGCATCTTCAAACAGCTTCAAACCGTCACAACAAATATCAACGCCTCCCTACAGTTCAATTCCCAACGTGGGGGTGCCAGACACTCCACCCCCTGCTGGCTCGCACCTGTCATGACACCAGTTGACATAGCCGCACCCTGTACCATGACACCCCCGAGGACTCTCTGTCTGACCAGTCAAACGATAGGGGTTATCAAGACAGACTGCCACACTGTCAGTATGAGTTAGTCCAGACAGAACAGACACCACAGCAACAGATGAGAGACAGAGGCCATGAAAAGTATTGTGCTACTTGTTTGTGGAATCAGTTAATTAGGCTACTTTTAATTAATGTATAATGCATTTCCATTTCATATGTTTGTTCTATTTTTTAGCGCCTTGAGCTGAGGACATGTGTTTTACCAATTAAATTATTTTTAGCTACTGTTAGTAAAGAAACATGGGGAGACAGCATCAATACAGCATCATGGGTTTGAGGTTATACACACATGCATGCACACACCATCATCATCTGCAATCAATCGATCACACACACCATACACACACACACACACACACACACACACACACACACACACACACACACACACACACACACACACACACACACACACCTCAGAGTGGGCATGGCTCAACCCAGTGCTGCTTGATGCCTTCTAATTGGAACAAATGTGGCAAATTACTGTAAACAAATCCATTTCCCATCCTCCCCATGCTTATCAGTCTGTCCCTGCGCCCTTATTACCGCCCACCAGTGCTCTATCCCCCACCCCCAACGGCCAGACTCAGGGATTGTCACCACAGAATTCAAATCACTGCCCTGGTTTACACTGCCCATTGAGAGAGAGAGAAAGATACAGTAAGAGGGAGAGAGAGAGAGATGAATCAAAGCAGCAACACCACAGAGCGATGGAAAGATAAGGGAAGAAGGGGAACAGAAAGAGCGGATCAGCAAAGTCATCATTAGAGAGAGGAAGAGAGAAATAATACACTACCGGTCAAAAGTTTTAGAACACCTACTCATTCAAGGGTTTTTCTTTATTTGTACTATTTTCTACATTGTAGAATAATAGTGAAGACATCAAAACTATGAAATAACACATATGGAATCATGTAGTAAACAAAAAAGTATTAAACAAATCAAAACATATTTTATATTTGAGATTCTTCAAATAGCCACCCTTTGCCTTGATGACAGCTTTGCACACTCTTGGCATTCTCTCAACCAGCTTCATGAGGTAGTCACCTGGAATACATTTCAATTAACAGGTGTGCCTTCTTAAAAGTTAATTTGTGGAATTCTTTCCTTCTTAATGCGTTTGAGCCAATCAGTTGTGTTGTGACAAGGTAGGGGGGTATACAGAAGATAGCCCTATTTGGTAAAAGACCAAGGCCATATTATGGCAAGAACAGCTCAAATAAGCAAAGAGAAATGACAGTCCATCATTACTTTAAGACATGAAGTCAGTCAATTTGGAAAATGTCAAGAACTTTGAAAGTTTCTTCAAGTGCAGTCACAAAAAACATCAAGCGCAATGATGAAACTGGCTCTCATGAGGACCGCCACACGAATGGAAGACCCAGAGTTACCTCTGCTGCAGAAGATAAGTTCATTGGAGTTAGCAGCCTCAGAAATTGCAGCCCAAGTAAATGCTTCACAGAGTTCAAGTAACATACACATCTCAACATCAACTGTTCAGAGGAGACTGTGTGAATCAGGCCTTCATGGTCGAATTGCTGCAAAGAAACCACTACTAAAGGACACCAATAAGAAGAAGAGACTTGCTTGGTCCAAGAAACATGAGCAATGGACATTAGACTGGTGAAAATGTGTCCTTTGGTCTGGAGTCCAGATTTGAGATTTTTGGTTCCAACCGCCATGTCTTTGTGAGATGCGGTGTGGGTGAACAAATGATCTCTGCATGTGTAATTCCCACCATAAGGCATGGAGGAGGAGGTGTTATGGTGTGGGGGTGCTTTGCTGGTGACACTGTCTGTGATTTATTTAGAATTCAAGGCACACTTAACCAGCATGGCTACCACAGCATTCTGCAGCGATACGCCATCCCATCTGGTTTGGGCCTAGTGGGACTATCATTTGTTTTTCAACAGGATAATAACCCAACACACCTCCAGGCTGTGTAAGGGCTATTTTACCAAGAAGGAGAGTGATGGAGTGCTGTATCAGATGACCTGGCCTCCACAATCCCCCGACTTCAACCAAATTGAGATGGTTTGGGATGAGTCGGACCGCAGAGTGAAGGAAAAGCAGCCAACAAGTGCTCAGCATATGTGGGAAGTCCTTCAAGACTGTTGGAAAAGCATTCCAGGTGAAGCTAGTTGAGAGAATGCCAAGAGTGTGCAAAGCTGTTTTGATGTCTTCACTATTATTCTACAATGTAGAAAATAGTTTTAAAAAATTAAGAAAAACCCTTGAATGAGTAGGTGTTCTAAAACTTTTGACCGGTAGTGTACATGACTAATAAAGACAAATGGTGTGATAGAGAAAAATAAGTCTAATAAGCCTGTTTTATTTGTGGATATATAATAAATCAATTGGATATTTGAAAAGAATGATAAACAATATGGCTTCCTTTTCTGGTTTAGCAGGTTCTTAGTACTGACCCTCTCTGTTGAGTTGACTTCATGTTGTGTGTAGCAGAGCTGGAGAAAATATAGTTGGAAAGGTAACATGGGGGTTGATTAGGCATTGAAGGCCAGGAAAAAGTGTAGAGAGAAAGGAGAGAGAGAGAGAAGGGCCACCAGCATAGTTTCTCTCAGCGCTCTAGAGCAGAACTGTGAAAATAGTGAAATTAAAAGCACATGATGAAAGACTTCTCTGGCCATCAAAGGAAGAAAAAAAGCCACTTGTGACAACATGACTGGTGATTTATTGATTTCTCTGCTCACATTCGTCTTTCGGGGGCACTGCCAAAGAGCAAAGCAATCTCGGAGATTGGGTGTTATTGGTTGTTCTGGTGTTCCCCTGGTGAATGGACACACACACACACCAACAGGGCTCCCAGTGGGGTGGGGAGAGTTTTTAATCCTCAAACACACAGTCATAAATCAAGCCTTGCTCCTAGATGCCCTGGCTAGTCGCTCATTGAGGACCTCCAGCCAACGGCGCATTCATTGCAATTTACAGGGCCAGCCATGCAATACAGGGAGGGCATCAGTGGAGCGTCCCTTTAGTTTGTAATTCCTAATTACTTTAGCTCGCAACATGGCTGCTGAATTGCTAATGGTCGGAGGGTGTGACCCCGCTGAGAGCTTTGCTTTGATTGGTTGAGGGGAGGCTGGGAGTCCCTCTGATTGGTTAAAGGGAGGCTGGGAGTCACTCTCATAGGCTGATACTAATAGTGAGGGTAAGGTGGAGGTTAGAAAGCCTACTTTGTGCCAGTTAATTGTATGGAACATATAGTGTTGTACATTGGGTCATAGACATGATTAAGCCTACAATGTTGCTCCAAACCTACGTTGCGTTGCGTGCAAGTATTATTTTGAATTGAACTATCAGCAGCCTCACTCCCATTCTGTTTGGTGGATTTGAGATTTTGACCAATGGCAGCCTCACTCCCTGTTAATCTCTGTTGTTCAAGGTGGAGTGGTTGAAGAATGAGGAGCCGGTGGGCTCGGACGGGAACATCGACACGCGAGCGGACCACAACCTGATCATCCAGGAGGCGCGTCTGTCCAACTCGGGGAACTACACGTGTCTGGCTAGCAACATTGTGGCCAAGAGACGCAGCCTGACTGCCACTGTGGTCGTATTTGGTAAGACAACTGGGTTGGAATCATTAGGTCACATTGTAGCAAAACATTTCAAAACATTGTGCAACGGTAAACATAATTAAGTGTTTCTTATTGGACAACTTCAGGTAGTCCGTCCCTGTTTCATTCCGTTTTCTTCCATTTCGTGCCTAATGAATACTACCCTTCTCTATGGAGCAGACCATATGGAGCAGACCATCAATTACTTTGAGCGTTTCATTGAGTCTGCCTTGAGGGACAGATAGGTAAAATTTTTACTCTTCTAATTAGGTCCATTACGCAAAGACAAGCTCAATCAAGCACAACTTGATTTTGGGGCGTGTAATTATTTCACTAAGTCAAACACCTTACAACAATCAAACCATACAGAGTTGTCCTGTTTTGACACACAATTCATGGATATTACAGTGAGGGAAAAAAGTATTTGATCCCCTGCTGATTTTGTACTTTTGCCCACTGACAAAGACATGATCAGTCTATAATTTTAATGTTAGGTTTATTTGAACAGTGAGAGACAGAATAACAACAAAGAAATCCAGAAAAAAGCATGTAAAAAATGTTATAAATTGATTTGCATTTTAATGAGGGAAATAAGTATTTGACCCCTCTGCAAAACATGACTTAGTACTTGGTGGCAAAACCCTTGTTGGCAATCACAGAGGTCAGACATTTCTTGTAGGTGGCCGCCAGCTTTGCACACATCTCAGGAGGGATTTTGTCCCACTCCTCTTTGCAGATCTTCTCCAAGTCATTAAGGTTTCGAGGCTGACGTTTGGCAACTCGAACCTTCAGCTCCCTCCACAGATTTTCTATGGGATTAAGGTCTGGAGACTGGCTAGGCCACTCCAGGACCTTAATGTGCTTCTTCTTGAGCCACTCCTTTGTTGCCTTGGCCGTGTGTTTTGGGTCATTGTCATGCTGGAATACCCATCCACGACCCATTTTTAATGCCCTGGCTGAGGGAAGGAGGTTCTCACCCAAGATTTGACGGTACATGGCCCCGTCCATCGTCCCTTTGATGCGGTGAAGTTGTCCTGTCCCCTTAGCAGAAAAACACCCCCAAAGCATAATGTTTCCACCTCCATGTTTGACAGTGGGGATGGTGTTCTTGGGGTCATAGGCAGCATTCCTCCTCCTCCAAACACGGCGAATTGAGTTGATGCCAAAGAGCTCGATTTTGGTCTCATCTGACCACAACACTTTCACCCAGTTCTCCTCTGAATCATTCAGATGTTCATTGGCAAACTTCAGACGGCCCTGTATATGTGCTTTCTTGAGCAGGGGGACCTTGCGGGCACTGCAGGATTTCAGTCCTTCACGGCGTAGTGTGTTACCAATTGTTTTCTTGGTGACTATGGTCCCAGCTGCCTTGAGATCATTGACAAGATCCTCCCGCGTAGTTCTGGGCTGATTCCTCACCGTTCTCATGATCATTGCAACTCCACGAGGTGAGATCTTGCATGGAGCCCCAGGCCGAGGGAGATTGACAGTCTTTTGTGTTTCTTCCATTTGCGAATAATCGCACCAACTGTTGTCACCTTCTCACCAAGCTGCTTGGCGATGGTCTTGTAGCCCATTCCAGCCTTGTGTAGGTCTACAATCTTGTCCCTGACATCATTGGAGAGCTCTTTGGTCTTGGCCATGGTGGAGAGTTTGTAATCTGATTGATTGATTGCTTCTGTGGACAGGTGTCTTTTATACAGGTAACAAGCTGAGATTAGGAGCACTCCCTTTAAGAGTGTGCTCCTAATCTCAGCTCGTTACCTGTATAAAAGACACCTGGGAGCCAGAAATCTTTCTGATTGAGAGGGAGTCAAATACTTATTTCCCTCATTAAAGTGTAAATCAATTTATAACATTTTTGACATGCGTTTTTCTGGATTTTTTTGTTGTTATTATGTCTCTCACTGTTCAAATAAACCTACCATTAAAATTATAGACTGATCTTTTCTTTGTCTGTGGGCAAACTGTGTGGAAATGTTCCTTACAAACAACATCCCTTGTATTCTTTCTCTGAATTTACACTCAGCCGTTATATTTTTCTGTCATTGGTCATAGGCTGTCACATCTTTGTGGCAATTTTTTCTTCTTTTATTTTATTGTACCTGCATAGTTCCGCATGCATTATCACATTGTTAGCACTTAATTTGCTATGCTCATCTCCTTTCTCTTGACATGTATACACATGTACTGTATCTGCCTCTTGTCAATGCATTTACTCAGTCTCTCATAGGCAACATTAGGTGTTAAGAGCAGTCAGAAACAGTCAGAAACATGTCTGTCTGACATGTCTGACATGTTCCATGCTGTGACAGGCAAGTAATGAGCAACTTCCTAGTTGTGTTTAAACACAGCAAGACTTTTAAAGACACGGGAAGGCTTTGACATGAGCTGTCAAAACTCCTCAGCTGCGTGCCTACTGCTACTAGCTGTCTGTTACCACTGGCTGTTTGTGCCAGGCTAGGATTCCCTGTTGCTTGTGCTTTCACAGCCCTGTAGGCCTCCGGAACGAAGGAAGGAAGAAATTAATATTTCTCTTTTTTTCTCTTCACTTTATTTATTCCATCTTTCAAAACCCGCTTTGCTAGTTAAAAACCTCCCCCTCTGTGTCAACAACACCAAATCTCCACACTGACTGACAACCATTAAGACAACTGGAAATCCAGCTACTGTTTTTCTATATTTACAGAACCTGTTGAGGCCCATCAGTCGTCTGTGTAGCTACCTGACTACCTGTCATGCTAATGAGGTGCCTGGCAGGCCCTGCTGGGAGAAATAGCCTACAGACAGACAGATGTAGTGGAGTAATGTGTTCTCACACTGACATTTGTTTCCTGTCTGACGATGAATGATGATGAATGAACTCATCATCAGTCAATCACTCAGCTGCTATTGAGGCCAGCACATCTGAGAGAGAGAGAGACAGAGACAGAGAAAGAGAAAGAGACAGAGACAGACAGACAGACAGACAGACAGACAGACAGACAGACAGACAGACAGACAGACAGACAGACAGACAGACAGACAGACAGACAGACAGAGTGGAGTGTTCACCTCTCTGACATGCCTTTGGTTCCTTGGCCTTTCATGTTTAGCCCAGATGGAGTTCCTGTAATTTAGGCAGTCAGCCTGTCTCTGTCAGACAGAACATGTGCTATAAGAGAGAGTGTGTGTGTGTGTTTGTGTGCGTGCGTGCATGTGTGTCTGTGTGTGTGTGTGTGTTAGGGAGAAAGTAAGTCAGCGTTCATACTTCTGGAAGTGATTTTCTCTTCCCTCCACATAGCTGTCATGTTACATTCCTTTATCCTTCTTTCCCTTTCTTTTCCTCAACCTCTTTTTGTCTCTTACCTTCTATCCTTCATCCTCTCCCGCTCTCATCTCCATCACTTCTACTCCATCTCTCCCTCTACTTCCTCCCTCTTTCTCTTACTTTCTCTGTCTCTCAAGTGAACGGAGGGTGGTCGTTGTGGACAGACTGGTCCGCCTGTAACGTGCCCTGTGGGCGGGGTGTCCAGAAACGCTCCCGTACTTGCACCAACCCCGCCCCTCTCAATGGGGGCGCCTTCTGCGAGGGCATGTCTGTCCAGAAGAGTACCTGTAATGCCCTCTGCCCAGGTATGTTTGTCTATCTGGCTGTCTAGCAGGCTTCTTGTCTGTCTGAGCTATCTGTCTGTCTGTCTTTCCATCCGTTCATCCATCCATCCGTTTGTCCATCTGTCTGTCTGTCTTCATGATTCTCATTCTATCCAACTGTCTGACTGTCTGGGAGGGGGGATTGTTTTGTTGTGGGGATGCATTATGTGCCAGAGCATCTGTATTTATGACAGTGCTCCTCTCCAAGGCAGAGGAAGGCTCCGCCTCTGCTGTTAGGGTAATTTCCCTCCAAACCGCTTTCATAAACCCATCGTCTGACCCCATTTTACTGACTGACAGTGGGTTGGTGTCTGAAATGTAATGCAGTGCCCCTCCAAGAAAGAGACGGAGAGATAGAGAGAAGAGGTTAGAGAGCAGGGATTAAAGAGAGGGAGAGAGAGAAGAGAGTCAGAGAGAGAGCGAGAGGAAGAGAGGGGAGATTGGAAGAGTGCGAACATAGAAAAATAATAAGTATAAGACAAAATTGAGACAGAGAAATAGAAAAGCAACTGAAGTGCAGGAGAGTTAACAACAGAATGATTGAGAATAGCCCTTACAATGAGCGAGAAGGCGAGAGAAAGACAGAAAGAGAGAGAGAGGGATCAGTGCCAGTTATCAGAGCGGCTGTATAATCTGCACAGTCCAAGTGTTCCTCTACACGTGGCCCAGTTTATGGTTTCAGATCGCCACACCAATCACCATGGAAATGCTCGTCATGTTGGGGAAAAAGTTATCTGGCGAGGGCAGCACTCTCCCGCTAACACAATCTCCATTTGGCTCAACCACTCTTCTCTCTCCTTCTCCCTCTCTTTCTGCCTCTCTCTCTTTCTCTCTCTTGTTCTCTCTCTCCCTATTTCTCTCACTCCCTCTCTCTTCCACAAGACGTTCTCTCTCTCTCTCTCGCGCTCTCTCTCTCTCTCTTTCTCTCCCTCTCTCTCTCTCTGTGAGTCTCAGCCCGTGCGCAAACACAGCATTTGCATTTAGATTAGCAAGGCAGAGGGAAACCTTGAAGCCTACGGAGTTGTTAAGGTAATAGAGGAGACTTGATGGAACAAGACAAAAAGCAAACTGTCTTTCCTGGCTTGAGTCAGCACCAGGATAGAACCTAACATGGTATTGTTCTAATGTGGCCCCTGGAGAGAAAGAAGAGGTTTTTTTGTGTGGTGGGCTATAGTCCATTGTAAGTGCTCTATCAGTAAGGTCCATAAACCAATTGTGTAGAGTAATTCTGGAGTAATGGTGGGGCAGTTATGTTCCACCCAGCTGTTTGCTGACTCTGGGAATCTATGATATGAGTGTGTGTGTGTGTTTGTGTGTGTGTGTGCCTGCATCCTCATTTGTGTGCTTGTGTGGTTACTGTACATATATGCCTGTGTGTTTTCTAAGCCTTGCAACACTTCCTTCCTCCCTCTCAGTGGATGGTGGCTGGGCAGAGTGGACAGAGTGGACGGTGTGCAGTAGTGAGTGTGAGAGGCAGCGCAGCAGAGAGTGTACGGCCCCAGAGCCCAAACATGGAGGCAGGCTATGTGACGGGACCGCTCTGGGAACAGACAACTGCACCGGGGGTCTCTGCACTCACAGTGAGTATTGTCACACACAGATTCATCTGGTGTTGCAACTCTGGTGGTGGAGATTGTCGTCATTCAAATCTTCATTACAATCATCATCATCATTGTGATCATCATCATCATCATCATTATCATCATCATCATCATCATCAATACCACACTTATTTTGTTGAGAGTTTAAAACATCACCAAAGACAAAGTAGTCTTCTGTTGGCTGGCATGTTTCCAGTTGCAACACCAGCAATACTGTGGATAAATCCATCCTAAGTTCCTTAGTGCTGCAATAAGCAGTGAATGACATAATGGATCTGCCACATGCTTGGACAGCATGGCATGGAAGTCCATACAGTACTTATTTTGTCATTCTTCTGATGGCCATATTGTCATTTCATCTCTCCGTTCTCGTCCTCCTTGAGGTAGACGCAAGAAGACAATCAGCCTTATCATGTTCCTTACATCAATCTCCACACACACACTCATACAAATACACTCATATACACACACACATGCACACACGCACACTCATGCTCCATACAATCCCTGGGTGATAGAAAGTCCTATCACTGAACCAATCTCACTACTGTGAGACACACACATCATGATCATGATCTCACACACACATTTGGGCATGTACACTCATGTGCACATACACACTCACACACACACACACACACCATACACTCTCTGGGTGATAAAGAGTCCTATCACTGGGCCAATCTTACTACCGCGACACACATACACACACACATACATTTTGTACATGCACACACATAAGTGTGCTCATTGGAAAACAACTGCAGGTTACAGCCGGTAGTATTCCATTCAAGTAGAAGTGAATTGACATGGTGTCTCTGTGTCTTTGCAGATCTGCTACACGACGCCAAGCCACAGGGTGAGTTCTCCCCAATCACCATCTTACTTTAGAACACACCATGTAACACACTGAAACCACTATAGCTTCTCCTCTACTAAAACAACCATTATAGGTTGTCACGCCACCACTCACAGATACAACCCTCCAAAACACTAACATCATGATCCAGAACCATTATCAAATTCACCAATATTTAACATTATCCCACCACCAACATCATTATCATTATTAACCACAAACACCATTTATGTAATTTTCTTAATTTAAAAGTCTGGTCTCTTCCAGTAATGTACTCATCGTGAGAATACCAGAAAACGTATTCTCACGATGAACACCATCAAAATCATATCTTAAAGGGATAGTTCAAGATTTTGACAAGTAATGCCTTTTTTCTACTTACTAAGAGTCAGATGAACTCATGGATTCAATTTCTAGGTTTCTGCGTGCAGTTTGAAGGAAGTTGAAGGTAGATTCTGCAGTAATTGCTTACTAGCATTAGCGCAATGACTGGAAGTCTATGGGATCAGCTACTGTTAGCGCAATCAGCTAGCTGTTCCCATAGACTACCAGTCATGCCAGTTACTTCAGGGACGCCACAACTGTCACATTCAGATTGTTTTAGTCTTTTTCGTCGTCGTGGGAAGGAGGGGAAAAGACGCAGCCAGTCAGCCTGTCTGCCAAAACTTAGCGAGCCCCCAATTAACCTGCCACTGTTAGCTGCTAATGTCTCTTTTCCATATTTTGGCGAATTATCCTTTTCTTGGAGCTTCAGGCTACTTAGCGATTTTCTCAGTCCCATTCCTGTGCAGATCTCATTATCTTTGGAGAACAAGCTAAGCCAGCAGTCCTTTTCTTTACACACACACACACACACACACACCTTGTGGCATACTGGTGAGACCAGATAGAGCGTAATCATTGCAGATGAGCTAATTTAATGAATTGGTCTTGTCACACTATCCCAATAGAACGCAGAGGACCTCCTGAGTGATGCCAGAGCCAAACAGCCCTTTGAGATGACAGTCAGTTGCTGGGGTTGATTATAATCCTAGTTAGATGTGGTGTGTGTGTGTGTGTGCCTGCATGTGTGTGTGTCTGACACACCAGTCAGGTGCTGGAGTGATTAGGACGGCGGTCCTAGCAAGCTTACTCATTAGTGCGTTAACAGGCTGCAGTGGGAGGAAGTGTTGCACCACAGCGGTGTGAGGAGACAGGAAATGGAAAACAATAAAGCCACGGAAGGAAGCAGGTTGAAAAAATCCTGCTACTAACATTTCAGGAGAATCTTAGAAGTTTTCAGGAGAAGCACAATTTATTCCCCAAAAAATATTCTTCCTTGAGAGATGTTACTAATGTGCCTCTCCCAAAGCGTTTAAAAATTGTTTTAATTAAAAAGAGGTGCAAACTTTGTACAGCGGTGAAAGTTGTGTAAGTCTGGCCAGTATAGCAATAACTGTAGATATCATGAGGCATGTAGCACTATCATAACATGTAAATACATGTAGATATCATGAGGCATGTAGCACTATCATAACATGTCAATAACTGCTGAATTCAATATGAATATACAGTAGCTTTGAGTTGAAACCTTGTCTCTTTTTCTGATGGTTATTCTATGATTAAACTATCTCTCACTCACTCCCTCTCTCTCTATCTCTCTCTCCCCCTTTCTCTCCCCTTTTCTCTCCCCCTCCCCCTCTCTCTCTCTCACTCTCTCTCTCTCTCTCTCTCTCTCTCTCTCTCTCATCTCTCTCCTCTCTCTCCTCTCTCTCTCTCTCTCTCTCTCTCTCCTCTCTCCTCTCTCTCTCTCCTCTCTCTCTCCTCTCCCTCTTCCTCTCTCTCTCTCTCTCTCTCTCTCTCTCTCTCTCTCCCCCCCAGGTCTGGAGGGAAGCAGTGACGTGGCGCTGTATTCGGGCCTGGCGGCGGGTGTGGTGACGGTAGTGGTGTTAATTGTGGCGGTGACCCTCTACCGGAGGAACCGGAGCGAGTACGGCGTGGACGTCATCGACTCCTCCACCCTCACCGGGGGATTCCAGTCCTTCAGCTTCAAGACCGCTCACCAAGGTGAGCTCAGAGAACACACAGACAGAAAGACAGACAGACACACATACACACAGACAGACAGACACACACACACACAGCTGAACACATATGCATGTAAACTTTCGATAAAATGAGCCAAGAAGGGGAACACACACAGCTGAACACACACACACACACACACACACAGCTGAACACACACACACACACACACACACACACACACAAGAACGCTTGCCAAGCTGAAGCAGAATGAAACACACACTTACACACATACAATGCTGAAGACGCACACATTGCTGTGGTCCAACGGAAGCTCGATTTGTGTGACTGACATTCCTTGGTGGTTACTTTGCGCTCCATTCAATCGATGTGTGTTTAATTTCTTTATTCTTCATTTAGTTTGACTGTAAGAAGTCCTTGTGTCCAACAGCAAGGTCGTGTTTGGTTTGCTCAGTGACTCGGTAGGGTGGAGGCAGTACAGTGTAAATGATCTCTCGCTCTCTCTCATCCTGTCTTGAGTGGAGAGGGGCAGAGACCAGACACAGCTCTCATTTCTCATGGTCTCGCTCCCTCTTCCAGACAGAATCTCATTCACACACACCTCCCCCCCACACTGTTCAGCACCCCCACCCCTTCTCTACCTAAAAGAGAGGGATGAGAGCACCATCGGAGGAGTGAATGTACCATCACGACCCTGCTCCTATGGCTATGACTCATATACTCAGTAATAGTAATGACCTTTGTTGAAAAGAGCATCTGCAAAGTTGAGTCACCCACAGAGATATATCTATCTGTTCTATAACTACAGCTGTATGATCTTCATTTGGTCACCCTGTTTCCGGAGAACTGTCCTGCAATGCAGGAAATGTAAAACGTGCAGTGTATTTGAAGTTTAGAAAGGCTTCTGAAGTTTGTAATTTCCAATTTCAGATGTGATTTTCCCTTACGGAAAATGTATCAACCCCTACAAAAATTTCCATCAATTATAATCAACATAATAATTCAAATGTCCTGTTGCTGCAGGATTAAGATCCTACATCTGTATGGAGTCACCAATAATGAACAATCTATCCCCTTGCTCCTGTAACTCCAATACGGTCAGACACAGTCATAGTAATAATGGCCAATGTTGAAGAGAGCATCTGCAGTGTTGAGTCAAACCCATAATGGACAATCTAGCCTCCTTGCTCCTATTACTCCAATATGATCGGAGTCAAACACAGTCATAGTAATAATGGCCTGTGTTGAACAGAGCATCTGCACTGTTGCGTCACTGGAAAAATGGAGAGAGAAAAAGGGTGATGTGTCGACCCAAAGATTGAGCCCTATTTCCATGGTTGTGACACGGCTGGTCTCCTTGGCGACAGCCTCTTCAGAGACGAGTGATAGAATTGATCACACAGCAGGAAGAAGAAAGCTGTGATTTTATTGGGGCCTCTGTCCTCCCAGAGAATTGGGGTAATATACACACAGGGTTATACACAGCCCTCTCATATTGTAGCCTACACACCAAGAGAGGAGTCTACTGAGTTAGGTAAATCAGCTTTTAGTTTGCACCTTATTTGTGGAACAATCTTCAAAATGTTCTTACATTTGATGTTTTGGTGCCTCTAGGGCAATTCAGAAAGCTGATTGAGGACCTTTTTAATGATGAATGTGTTAGTTTTTTATGACGGTGTTTTTCTTTCTGCTTGCATTTATATTTTGATGTGTGTATTTGATGTATGGTCCTCTGTAGCTCAATTGGTAGAGCATGGCGCTTGTAACGCCAGGGTAGTGGGTTCGATCCCCGGGACCACCCATACGTAAAAATGTATGCGCACATGACTGTAAGTCGCTTTGGATAAAAGCGTCTGCTAAATGGCATATTATTATTATTATTTTCTGTAATTTATGTAATTCAAGGCTCATCTGTAAAATAGACATTTGTCTCAGTATGACAGTATGACTCAGTATGACCTCAGTATGGTTAAATAAATATAAAAAATAGTGCACTACTTTTGGCCAGAACCCTACAGGACATTATATATAGCCAACATAGGGCTCAAGCCAAGTAGTGAGCTATAGTGAATGGAGTGCCATAGGAGATGCAAACACACTCCATGGAGCTGAGAAGAGATACAGTCTAAATGGAGATAACTGCCTGTTAACTGCCTGTTAGCTTGGTCCTGTGATCTGCTAGCTTAAGCTTGGATGAGCATATGAAAGTCTAGGGTCCCACCAAGTCTCAGTTTTCCCATCTGCTCAACCGTTTACCCAGCTTTGGTACACCATTTACTGTCTTCTTAGTAGCTACAAAGCTTGAAGTTGTAAAGATTAAGAATCTTTCCCAAGTATAACACACACACATACACACACAGACACAGACACCACACACACACACACACACACACACACACACAAACACACTTACACACACACACACACACACACATACAGTGGGGGGAAAAAGTATTTAGTCAGCCACCAATTGTGCAAGTTCTCCCACTTAAAAAGATGAGAGAGGCCTGTAATTTTCATCATAGGTACACGTCAACTATGACAGACAAATTGAGGGAAAAAAATCCAGAAAATCACATTTTAGGATTTTTAATGAATTTATTTGCAAATTATGGTGGAAAATAAGTATTTGGTCACCTACAAACAAGCAAGATTTCTGGCTCTCACAGACCTGTAACTTCTTCTTTAAGAGGCTCCTCTGTCCTCCACTCGTTACCTGTATTAATGGCACCTGTTTGAACTTGTTATCAGTATAAAAGACACCTGTCCACAACCTCAAACAGTCACACTCCAAACTCCACTATGGCCAAGACCAAAGAGCTGTCAAAAGACACCAGAAACAAGATTGTAGACCTGCACCAGGCTGGGAAGACTGAATCTGCAATAGGTAAGCAGCTTGGTTTGAAGAAATTAACTGTGGGAGCAATTATTAGGAAATGGAAGACATACAAGACCACTGATAATCTCCCTCGATCTGGGGCTCCACGCAAGATCTCACCCTGTGGGGTCAAAATGATCACAAGACCGGTGAGCAAAAATCCCAGAACCACACGGGGGGACCTAGTGAATGACCTGCAGAGAGCTGGGACCAAAGTAACAAAGCCTACCATCAGTAACACACTACGCCACCAGGGACTCAAATCCTGCAGTGCCAGACGTGTCCCCCTGCTTAAGCCAGTACATGTCCAGGCCCGTCTGAAGTTTGCTAGAGTGCATTTGGATGATCCAGAAGAGGATTGGGAGAATGTCATATGGTCAGATGAAACCAAAATAGAACTTTTTGGTAAAAACTCAACTCGTCATGTTTGGAGGACAAAGAATGCTGAGTTGCATCCAAAGAACACCATACCTACTGTGAAGCATGGGGGTGGAAACATCATGCTTTGGGGCTGTTTTTCTGCAAAGGGACCAGGACGACTGATCCGTGTAAAGGAAAGAATGAATGGGGCCATGTATCGTGAGATTTTGAGTGAAAACCTCCTTCCATCAGCAAGGGCATTGAAGATGAAATGTGGCTGGGTCTTTCAGCATGACAATGATCCCAAACACACCGCCCGGGCAACGAAGGAGTGGCTTCGTAAGATGCATTTCAAGGTCCTGGAGTGGCCAGTCTCCAGATCTCAACCCCATAGAAAATCTTTGGAGGGAGTTGAAAGTCCGTGTTGTCCAGCGACAGCCCCAAAACATCACTGCTCTAGAGGAGATCTGCATGGAGGAATGGGCCAAAATACCAGCAACAGTGTGTGAAAACCTTGTGAAGACTTACAGGAAACATTTGACCTGTGTCATTGCCAACAAAGGGTATATAACAAAGTATTGAGAAACTTTTGTTATTGACCAAATACTTATTTTCCACCATAATTTGCAAATAAATTCATAAAAAATCCTACAATGTGATTTTCTGGAAAAAGAATTCTCATTTTGTCTGTTATAGTTGACGTGTACCTATGATGAAAATTACAGGCCTCTCTCATCTTTTTAAGTGGGAGAACTTGCACAATTGGTGGCTGACTAAATACTTTTTCTCCCCACTGTATATACACACACACACACACCAAGTATAAAATCTCATTAGCTCCGTCACCTCCCACTCTAGCCCGGCCTGTAGCAGAGAGTTTTACACAGTTAGTCGTTGCTATGGAGAGGCTTTTGTTCCATCTTTTTTGCCTTGACAAGGACTTTGTGGCAACTCCCGTTGTCATGGTGAGGTGTTTTTAGCACCCCAGTTGCCATGGTGAAGAGATGGGCGCCGTTTGGACCAGGAAGTTGTTTTGACACAAATGTTGCCAGGGCTTGCCCTCCAGCTGTAATTGACATTCAGTGTGTCACTTATTGGACGACTGGAGACTAACAGTTAGCATACCACTGTAGGCAAGCTAATATCAGACCTGCGTCCGATGCCGTGAGCAGCCCAACAGTACACCAACCATGGGTAACCGATAGTTGGCATGCTGCTGTCAGCAACCACCAGTGGCCCAGTGTTCATCTGTGTATACCATCATATGATAACACCCTGATGAAAACCCATGTAGAAGAGTCTGTAAACAGATGTGTTTTCTGGGAGAAGGACAGTATCTGACTCCTCTGGGACTCTTTCTCTTCTCCAGGCAACCCCCTGTTGATCAATTCATCCCTGCAGCCGGACCTGACAGTGTCACGGACGTACACCAGCCCCATCTGCTTCCAGGACTCCATGGATAAAGAGCTAATTTCCCAGGAGCCTTCGCTCTTCGACCCACTGCCCGACCTCAAGGTCAAAGTTCACTCCTCCTTCATGGTGTCCCTGGGCGTGTCAGAGAGGGGGGCCGAGTACCACGCCCAGAAAGCCCACCCCCAGACCTTCCCCCGGGGGCTGGCGCCCGACTACAGTGGGGTACGGGTGGAGGGGACCCTGAGAGGGAGGAGGGAGAAGAGCCTACTTGCCCCCCACGCACCGTCTATGCCCTCCAGGCCCCCTCTCAGGATGGCCGGGGTGTTCGGACATGCGGGTGGGAGGCTGGTGGTCCCCAATACAGGTTTGTGGTTCGTAAGGGCAATGTAGCACACTCACACACATGCAAGCACACACAGACATGGATGTTTGAATGCTCCCACACACACACACACATACACAGAAGCGCACACACACACACACACACACAAACACAGGGGCACACATACACACTTGCTGGGCTGTCAGGTCTATTTAGGGCAGGTGACAGCCAGAGAGGTGACGGCCAGACAGGGCATCTGGGGCTCTCAAATCAATGCTGTCAACAGTGCACCACACACACACACACACATACTACCACCGACACTGAAGCCCACAAACAATTACTCTCTAGAGTGCCAATCTAACTTGCCAGTAGATAAAAGTGCCACAAGGGACAGGAGACAGGAATGTTGGGCTGTGTGAGAGTGAGAGCGTAGTGTGTGTGTGTGTGTGTGTGTGTGTGTGTGCGCACGTGCGTGCATGTGCATATGTGCCTCGTGATCATCTCCTCTGTTCCCCCCCCCCCCCTCTCTCTCTCTCTCTCTCTCTCTCTCTCTCTCTCTGTGTAGGTGTGAGTCTGTTGGTGCCCCATGGGGGGATAGCTGAGGACATTACCTGGGAGATGTACATGGTCATCAACCAGGAGGACAGCAGCAGGTGAGACAGGACACACAGACAGGACACAGAGAACCAGGCTACCTGCCTCCCTTCTTCCTTCCCTCTCTCTTTCTTATACACTTTTTTTAATCGCTTTGGTGCAATTTTCACAAGTATGTGGTACATTTTCACAACCCTTAGTACAAAACTCAAAACAGATCATCAAAAAGGCAGTTGTTTCAAAACTGTAAGCACATTTTCAATTGACTAAGTACAACACAGAAAATCATACAGTCACTTTTTCACCAAAATTAATCAGTGTTTCATCTAGAAATAAATGTTTCACATCTTCATATGAAGTAATTGCCTTTCACAATGCAATTATCACATTACTTTTGATATGATTATCTTATCTTTTGTTAAAATACATTTTACTATTACTTAATCTCACTGCTCTCAATTGATGATCACTTAAACATTTGGTAAACCTATACATTGATAAACTGGTTTGTCTACTACAGATTTTGAGAACTACATAATGAGAATGTATGTCGTTAAGTTGAAACTTAAAAAGTATGATATATACTTGAATGTACTACTATGATGATGACAAAACATTTTTTTAAATCTGATATTGACAAAATCAGAGATGTACTGTATGTAACAAATCAAAGTTTATTGGTTACACAGATTAGCAGATGTTACAGCAGGTGCAGTGACATGCTTGTGTTTCTAGCTCCTACAGTGATACAATACAATACCAATACGTAAATTATCCAGAATGTCCTCTATACATGTATCCAAAATGAAGTTGCTGGGATCTTTTTGATGTGGGGGTCACACTGCTGTAATACCGTAATATACAGTGCATTCAGAAAGTATTCAGACCCCTTGACTTTTTCCACATCTTGTTACGTTACAGCCTTATTCTAAAATTGATTAAATCATTTTTTTCCCTCGTCAATCTACACACAATACCCCATAATGACAAAGCAAAAACAGGTTTTTAGACATTTTAGTACATAAAAAAAAAAAACGCTAAACTGAAATATCACATTTACATAAGTATTCAGACCCTTTACTCAGTACTTTGTTGAAGCACCTTTGGCAGCGATTACAGCCTAGAGTCTTCTTGGGTATGACGCTACAAGTGTGGCACACCTGCATTTGGGGAGTTTCTCCCATTTCTCTCTGCAGATCCTCTCAACCTCTGTCAGGTTGGATGAGGAGCGTCGCTGCACAGCTATTTTCAGTTCTCTCCAGAGATGTTCGATCGGGTTCAAGTCCGGGCTCTGGCTGGGCCACTCAAGGACATTCAGAGACTTGTCCTGAAGCCACTCCTGCGTTGTTTTGGCTTTGTGTTTAGGGTTGTTTTCCTGATGGAAGGTGAACCTTCGCCCCGGTCTGAGGTCCTGAGCGCTCTGGAGCAGGTTTTCATCAAGGATCTCTCTGTACTTTGCTCTGTTCATCTTTCCCTCGATCCTGACTAGTCTCCCAGTCCCTGCCGCCAAAGTATATCCCCACAACATGATGCTGCCACCACCATGCTTCACCGTAGGGATGGTGCCAGGTTTCCTCCAGATGTGACGCTTGGCATTCAGGCCAAAGAGTTCAATCTTGGTTTCATCAGTCCAGAGAATCTTGTTTCTCATGGTTTGAGAGTCCTTTAGGTGCCTTTTGGCAAACTCCAAGCGGGCTGTCATGTGCCTTTTACTGAGGAGTGGCTTCCATCTGGCCACTCTACCATAAATACCTGATTGGTGGAATGCTGTCCTTCTGGAAGGTTCTCCCATCTCCACAGAGGAACTCTGGAGCTCTGTCAGAGTGACCATCTGGTTCTTGGTCACCTCCCTGACCAAGGCCCTTCTCCCCCAATTGCTCAGTTTGGCTAGGCAGCCAGCTCTAGGAAGAGTCTTGGTGGTTCCAAACTTCTTCCATTTAAGAATGATGGAGGCCACTGTGTTCTTGGGGACCTTCAATGCTGCAGAAATGTTTTGGTACCCTTCTCCAGATCTGTGCCTCGACACAATCCTGTCTCAGAGCTCTACAGACAATTCCTTCGACCTCATGGCTTGATTTTTGCTCTGACATGATCTGTCAACTGTGGGACATTATATAGACAGGTGTGTGCCTTTCTAAATCATGTCCAATCAACTGAATTTACCACAGGTGGACTCCAATGAAGTTATAGAAACATCTCAAGGATGATCAATGGAAACAAGATGCACCTGAGCTCAATTTCGAGTCTCATAGCAAAGGGTCTGAATACTTATGTAAATAAGGTATTTCTGTTTTTTATTTTTAATACATTTATCAAACATTTCCAAAATCTGCCATTTACGTAGCAGATACTTTTATCCAAAGTGACAACAGTCCACACATTTTGATATGTGACCCCAGAGGGAATTGAACCCACAACTCTGGTGTTGCTAGTACCATGTTCTTATGAACTGAGCCACGTACAGGACCACTACAATACATAATTACAATACAATACTGTAAAATACAATACACGATTACAATACAGGTGGAATATGTATGATTTCCATCCCCATGAGCGCACCACCCTCCTTCAGGCCATGGATGAGCCATGCAGTAATTTCAATCTAGACCAATGTCAGGCTTGGATTCTCCATGACAAAAGGTTTTTCCCCAGGTGCATGAACAATGAGCATATTTACTGTAATTTCGATAAGACAGGCTTGATGCAAACTAGTGCCTTCTAAACATAATGTTTCCTTAATTTCTTTAATTCGATTACATTGTGAAAGAGCTCTTCAATGATCACACCTTTGATCACACATGGGATATAAATGATGGAAATGTATGTTCAGTCAATTTTAATGGGTAGTGCAAATGTGCCTAATGTGAAAACAGTGTAATGTACTGTAATTTACAGTACTGTAGAATAAAACAGTCATTCATTTTGAAACATGTATCTTACATGTTTTACTATTGGATTAACTGGTTGTTAAAATAACTAAATTAAGACCATATAATTATGTTGTGTTTTGGTGATTAAACCAATGTACTCATCACACTGAGTATACTCAAACATTAGGAACACCTTCCTAATATTGAGTTGCACCTCCCCTTTTGCCCTCAGAACATCCTCAACTGGTCAGGGCATGGACTCTACAAGGTGTCGAAAGTGTTCTACAGGGATGCTGGCTGATGTTGACTCCAATACTTCGCAAAGTTGTGTCAAGTTGACTGGATCACCTTTGGGTGGTGGACCATTCTTGGCTTTGAAACTATTGAGCGAGAAAAACCCAGCAGTGTTGCAGTTCTTGATACAAACCAGTGCGCCTGGCACCTACTACCATTCCCCGTTCAAAGGCACTTAAATATTTTGTCTTGTCCCATTCACCCTCTGAATAGCACACATACACAATCCATGTCTCAATTGTCTCAAGGCTTAAAAATCCTTCTTTAACCTGTCTCCTCCCCTTCATCTACACTGATTGTCACGCTCGTTGAAGGACGGGTAAGACCAAGGCGCAGCGTGAAATGCATACATGTTTATTTATTAACATAAACACACAAACAAAAACAATAAAACAACGTAACGTGAAGTCCTCAGGCTTAACACAATACAAGCCTATACACGGAACAAGATCCCACAACTAATGATAACAAACAGGCTACTAAAGTATGATCCCCAATCAAAGACAACGAGCGACAGCTGCCTCTGATTGGGAATCACACCCGGCCAAACAGAGAAACACAAAACCTAGAATGAGAACATAGAAATAACGACATAGATCTCCACACCCTGACTCAACATACAAGAGTCCCATAAGTCAGGGCGTGACAGTACCCCCCCCCCAAAGGTGCGGACTCCGACCGCACAAACCTGACATAACAGGGTAGGGTCCGGGTGGGCATTCTGCTTCGGAGGCGGATCTGGCTCCGGGCGTGACGACCACATTCTCTCAGCCTCCCCGTTGCGCCCCTGGTCTGGTCTGGACCTCGGCGCGCTGCTTCCCCTCTCCTTCCTCCCACGATGCACCAAGCCCTGTCTGGACCCTGGTGTGGAACACCCCGAACCTGGAGAGGGGCTGACATCTGGGCCTGGATCGGCAATCCTCCCACAATGCACCAAGCCCTGTCTGGGCCCTGGTGTGGGAGACCCCGAACCTGGAGAGGGGCTGACGTCTGGGTCTGGACTGGAGCCGCTGACCGGAGCTGGACTAAGCACCGGTGGAGCGGACTGCTCTGGCTCCGGAGTGGAGCCGCTGACCGGAGCTGGACCGTGCACCAGTGGAGCGGACTGCTCTGGCTCTGGAGTGGAGCCGCTGACCGGAGCTGGACTGGGCACCGGTGGAGCGGACTGCTCTAGCTCCGGAGTGGAGCAGCTGACCGGAGCTGGACTGGACCCCGGTGGAGCGGAATGCTCTGGCTCCGGAGTGGAACTGCTTACCGGAGCTGGATCAGGCACCGGTGGAGCGGACTGC